AGCGTATCTCGGCCGGCAGCGGGGCTATTTTTAGCTGCACGAGCTGGCCTGGCCAAAAAACCCATTTTCTCTGCGAGGGATCCTTCCTCCTCCCTTACAGCACTGTTTCAGCGCTGCTCAGCACCACGAGATCTATAGGAATTGCATAGAAACAGGTCAGGATTAGACAGGCGCAACATCGTGTCCCTCCAAGCCCAGCCTCGAGTCGTGGGTCCCAAAATAACCGAGCCACTGGGGGTGACATCAGTGCGGGTCTTGCCCTGTGGTCCCTCCCTTTGCAAACTGGCTTAACTGGGACAGAAAAATTGTTGTTGTTCCCCTCCCTCAAAAAAACCCCTACAAAAGTGCAAATGCAGGTCGAGCGCCGTCACTGAGCCTGCTGGGACACGGAGATGGAAATGATGGGCTGAGGGGCTCCAGGATGCCCCTTGGAGCTACGGGAGGGCTCAGGGATACGTTCAGGTCTCTGCCCCGTGTTTCCTTGGGACACCTCCGAGCCCCGTGAGGACTTTGGCAATGAGGAGGAGGATGGTGAAACCCCTCAGGGTCACTGCTGACCCCTTTCTCCATCAGAGCTGTACAGCTACACCGAGGAGCCCGAGCTCGGCACCAACAGGAGATGCTTCGAGGAAGATTTTCACGCTCAAGGTACCGGCTCTGAGCTCAGCACCCCGGGGTGCTGCAAGAGCAGGACCCCTCACCCTGGGGAGGCACCTGCCTGGTTGTTTCATTCCCATTCCAGTGCAGGGCAGGAGGTGGCTGGAGCTGGACGGGGCTCAGCAGAAAGCCTACGTGATGCGGCTGCTGGATGGGCTCGAGGTGGTCAACCGGGACAAGCGGCTCAGAGTAGCACGAGCCATCCTCTACCTGGCCCAGGGTAAGGACCGCAACGCCCGTGTCCGGGTGCAGCTGCGTGTCTGCTGCCTGGCTCCGGCGTAGGAGAAACCTTCTCTTGGGGTTGTGCCGGGTTGGTGCAGTAAGGGTCCTTCCCGGGGGGGTCCCGCATGCTCCAGGGGTTTGAAGGCAGCTGCCCCCTAACCAGCACCTCCCTTCGGGCCTCTCCAGGCGTCTTTGGAGACTGCGATAATGAAGGCGACGTCCTGCGCTGGTCCCGGCACAACAGCTTCCTCCTGTACCGCCTGGGAACCTTCACCGCCTTCCTGGAGCTCCTCAACATGGAGATCGAGTGAGTGGACCCACACTGCCCCCACCCTCCTCCTTTTCATCTTCTATCCCTCCATTCTCCTCTTCATCTTCTTCCTCCTTATTCTTCTCTTCATCTTCTTCCTCCCTATCCTCCTCCTCATCTTCTTTCTCCCCATCCTCCTCTTCATGTTTTCCCCTCCATCCTCTTCATCTTCCTTCCCTCCATCCTCTTCATCTTCCTTCCCTCCATCCTCTTCATCTTCCTTCCCTCCATCCTCTTCATCTTCCTTCCCTCCATCCTCTTCATCTTCCTTCCCTCCATCCTCTTCATCTTCCTTCCCTCCATCCTCTTCATCTTCTTTCCCTCCATCATCTTCATCTTCTTTACCTCCATCCTCCTCTTCATCTTCTTCCTTCCTATTCTTCTATTCATGTTCTTACTCCCCATCCTCCTCCCCTCCATCCTCTTCATCTTCCTTCCCTCCATCCTCTTCATCTTCTTTACCTCCATCATCTTCATCTTCTTTCCCTCCATCCTCCTCTTCATCTTCTTCCTTCCTATTCTTCTATTCATCTTCTTACTCCCCATCCTCCTCCTCATCTTCATTCTCCTCATCCTCCTCCTCATCTTCATTCTCCCCATCCTCCTCCTCATATTCTTTCTCCCCATCCTCCTCCTCATCTTCCTTCTCCCCATCCTCCTCCTCATATTCTTTCTCCCCATCCTCCTCCTCATCTTCATTCTCCCCATCCTCCATCTTCTTTCTTCCCATACTCCTCGTCCTCTTCTTCCTCCTCCCTCCTCCTCCTCCTCCCCGAGGACCGGGGTGGTTCCGCAGCCGCCCGTGCCCGGTGGCTGAGCTCGTCCCCTTCCCCGCAGCAACAGCCAGGCCTGCAGCAGCGCGCTGAGGAAGCCGGCCATCTCGCTGGCTGACAGCACGGAGCTCAGGTACCTCCTCCAGCCCCCCACTGGCACGTTGGGTGGAGGTGGTGGGACAACCTCCGGGGACAAAGTGGACTCTGGCTGGCGGTGTCACCTGCCCATCGTGCTGTCCCGACAGGGTGCTGCTCAGTGTCATGTACCTGATGGTGGAGAACATCCGCGTGGAGCAGGAGACGGATCCCCCCGAGTGGAAAACCTGCCGAGAGACCTTCAGGACGGAGCTGAGTGAGCCACAAAGTTCATTGTGCCCTAACAAGGTTCCTCTGTCGTGGTGGACCCAGGGAGACCTCCAGGGATTATAGAACCATAGAATCACAGAATGTTGGGGGTTGGAAGGGACCTCTGGAGATCACCCAGTGCCACCCCCTGCCAGAGCAGGATCACCCAGGGCAGCTGTTCCTGTGTAGGAACGATCCAGGCGGGTTGGAAAGTCTCCAGAGCAGGAGACTCCACACCCTCTCTGGGCAGCCTGGGCCAGAGCTCCGGCACCCGCACAGCCAACAAGTTTCTCCTCATGTTGAGGTGGAACTTCCCACATTCCTATGATGTGGAATCTGTCCTGAACCTGCTCCTGGCCCCTCTCTCCACCAGGTTTCCCCGTGCACACTGAAGAGCCGTTTGCTCTTCTGCTCTTCACGATGGTGACCAAGTTCTGCAGCGGCCACGCTCCACACTTCCCCATGAAGAAGGTCCTGCTCCTGCTCTGGAAGGTCCTTCTGGTGGGTGCAAACCATTCCTTTCTCCAGAAACTGGTCATTTTGAGAATAGTGCTGATGCAGCCTGGATGCTCCCCACTGTTCAATCCAACTGGAACAAGGTTGTTTAACGTGGCGCAAGAGGCTGACACAAGGCAAACAGGTTTTTTTGGGAGAGTGAGGGTGGGCTGAGCTGTGCAGAAGACGTGAGGTGGGGGAGAAGTCTGGAGAACAATGTCATGGCTTCATCCTCAAGCTGCTGCTCCCCTGGAAGCCCAGAAGAGCCGTGCTGTCTGGGTGGGACATCCGCTCCCCGCTCACTTCTCTCCTCTCTTGTTGGTCCCTAGTTCACGCTGGGTGGATTCGAAGCCCTGCAGGCGATGAAGGTGAGGAAGAGGGAGGAGCTGGGGCTGCCGCCCTTGCCAGAGGACAGCATCCAGGTGATGCGCAGTATGCGCGCCGCTTCGCCCCCCACCTACTCCACCAGGCACCAGCAGCACCAGCAGCAGCAGCAGAAGCGTGGTCACCGCAGCCGAAGGGTAAGAGCGGGCTCATCCTCCTGGCACATGGCCCGGTCCCTTCTCCAGCAGGGATCATCGTCTGTTCGAGGAGCCAGCCTGTGCTCGGTGGTGTTATTTCCCCTCCCGCACCAAGCACTCCTACGTTCTTCCGTTTTATAGAATCACAGAATGGTTTGGGCTGGAAGGGACCTTAAAGGCCATCTAGTCCCTCCCCTGCTGCAGCAAGCAGGGACATCTTCAACTAGATGAGGTTGCTCAGAGCCCCGTCCAACCTGCCCTTGAATGTTTCCAGCGATGGGGCTTCTACCACCTCTCCAGGCAACGCGCGCCAGCGTTTCACCACCCTTATAGTAAAAACAATTCTAGTCTGAAGCTCCCCTCTTTTAAAACCATTTAAACCCTTCTTAAAACCATCACCCCCTGTCCTCTTGCAACAAGTCCTGCTAACACGTCCCTCCCAATCTTTCCCGTAGCCCCCTTGAAGTACTGGAAGGTGCTCTAAGGTCTCCCCTTTGGGAGCCTTCTCTTCTCTGGGCTGAACAACCTCAAATACTCAGCCTGTCCTTGTAGGAGAGGTGCTCCACCCCCTCTGAGCACCTTTGTGGACCCGCTCCAACAGATCCATGTCCCTCTTGTGCTGAGGACCCCAGATCTGGGCACAGAACTGCAGGGAGGGTCTCACCAGAGCGGAGCAGAGGGGCAGAATCCCCTCCCTCACCCTGCTGGCCATGCGGCTCTGGATGCAGCCCAGGACACGACCGGTTTTCTGGGCTGTGAGCACACATCGCTGGGTCACGTCCAGTTTTCCATCCACTCATTTCAGTCGTGACAAACCAGCCCCATGATGCGCTTGATCTGGAGGAAGCAAGAGGACATCCTGACCCCATGGCCAAGCACTGATAAGCACCCGGAATCAAACTGCTCACAGCAAGCTCTTTTTTTAGCTCCCCTCACGGAGCTGCTGTGGTATGATCCAAGGATGAAAACGCCTCTTCCGTTAGGGGGATGTTGGATGGTAACTCCAAAAGTTGAGACGGAAAATGGGCTCACACCTCCTAGAGCAGCAAGGGTAGAGTTACACAGGGAGGGGCTGTTCCTCACTCAGGCTCTGGTTGACAACAGCTAGGAGGGAAATCCTCATCTGAGGAACATCTGGGAGTTTGTTCCTTCCAGGATGGCAAGGTCTGGTGCTGGCAGTGGGGAGGGAAATAAAATCCAGGGAGTGACTCATATTTCTCCTTCCCCTTCTGCTGCAGCCCCTGGTGAAGCAAGACAGTCTGGATATCTACAACGAGAGAGACCCCTTCAAGAACGATGAAGCAGGGGTCGACGAAGAGGAGAACGACGATGTGGACAGCGGGATCGAGGGGGAACTGGACCTGATGGAGCGGGATGCCATCATGCCCACGATGCCTGCTCAGCGCCCACCTATCGAAAGAGTTTCATTCCCCAAAGGGCTCCCCTGGGCCCCCAAAGTCAGGTAAAACCAGCTGATGTCCCTGCCATCCTCCCCAGTCCTACCTGTCCCGGAGCGCGTTGCAGGCTGAACGTCAGGCTGTGCCAAGTTTGTTGGCCTCTGGCTGGTAGAACTTGAAGTGACTCCGGTCATTTTTTGGTCTCAATGGTCCTTTCTGGACTGGGTTTAGCAAAGCTCTTCCTCAGGCTTTATAAACCGAGCGCAGCCACTCTTGGCCAGTGTCAATCCCATTCGGGCATCCCAGGCTGGACTGGGAAGAAGGCTTGTGCTGGAGCGCTGGGGGAGCCGGGGCAGCTTTCCCCACCAGCACCAACAGATCTCAGTAGGGGCAGAGGTCTCAGACTAATCATCTCTGGCAGTGGTTAATGACATTGCCTCTAGATTTTTTGAGTTGGACTCTTGTTTTGCCAGATGAAGCCTTCTTGAATGGCCTTGCTCTAAGAAGTTGGAGAAAATCATCTGAGATAAAGGAGTTGGTGCTTTCCCTTCCTAAAAACCAGTTCCCCACATGTCGTATAGGAGAAGGTTTGGGAAAAGTGGGTGAAATCCTCTGTCCCTTGCCCCCTAACCCATGTGAGTTCTTTTGCTGTTGATCCAAAGCCTGGATTTAATCCCTTGTCTTTAAAACGCAGGAAGCAAATACCTCTTTTCGATGTGGGAGCAGTGACAGGGTTAAGCGTGCCTTTGCAGAGCTCTCCTCGCAGGGACACGGCAAGAATTAGTTTCCCACGTGGGTCTGGGCACACGCGGTGCCGTGGAGCTCCACGTAACTTAATGCTCTCAGCTTGGAAATCAAACGACCGTTGTTTTTCTTGGCTGGTGCCTGGAAATCCCACTGGGTTTCTTTCTGCCTGTGAGAACCTTGGCTCACGGTCCGTGTCCTACTCGTAAGCACTGAGACCCTGACCGGTTCTCACGAAAGACGCCCGGGGTGGAGGAGATGTCAGCTTGCTCTCTCAGAGCAGCACATGCTCCGCCAGACCACGGAGACAGCATTTGTTAGCTCAGAGCGAGCAGATGCTACTTGAAGATCCACAGAAGGTGGATCAAAAGGTGCCGGTCGTGAAGAGCTCCTCTCCATTTATTCACGCGCCTCCATGGAGCTCCACGGCAAAGTACAAGTGGCTTTGGTTCACGTTGTTCCCAACCAATGAGCCGAATGGTGGCTCTACCCTGCTGCTGCTAAGACCTCTAAAAATTAATCCTAGGAAGCACAGAGGTTCTTGCTGGCCCCACGCCGCGGTGCTTTCTGAGAAACGTGGGTGGTTTCCAACTGTCTCCTTGGTTTTGTTTCTCTGCTGCTCCATCAGACAGAAAGACATTGAGCATTTCCTGGAAGCAAGCAGGAACAAATTCATCGGATTCACGCTGGGACAGTGAGTGTTACACACACAGGTTTCACCCAGTTTGGTCCGTAGCTCCCGTCAGGGCAGTTTAACCGGTGGGAGGTGTCTGCAGGGCTCAGGTTTTCTCAACTCAACCGTGTTCGGGATGATGTGGCACAGCCCTGGATTTCACTGTGGCTGCAGCAACAGAGTCGGTGCTGTAAAAACATGTTCTTGGAGATGCTGATCTCCGAGGACCTCTTTCTATTAAAAATCAGACCTAGCCCAGAATAAGTGACCCCTGGCCCAAGCCAGAGAGGGGTTGGATGTGGGAGGGAGTCGGTGTCCGCAGTGAATTTCCCGGTGTGTGAATAAATCAAGCTGGGTGGGCAGGATCATCCTGCCGTGGGCCCAGCAGGGCACACTCAGTTTTTAGGACGCTCATTTTTTAGGTGGGGTGTCAGGCTCAAGCTGGCTCCACGCAGAGACCTGATTTCACCCCAGTTCTTCACCCCAGTGTCACCTTTCTGTCGTGCAGGCTTTGCTGGGGAGGAGGTGGGAGGGCAGGCAGCTCACGCCAACACCTCTCCCAATCCCTGACCCACCCTGGATGGGCTCCGTAGAACCAGTGGGCTACAGGCTCCCTCTTTTACTTCGGATGGCACAGAAGCATTCACAGATCTCCTTCCCAGCTTTGCACTTACCTTCTCTCCTCCAGAGACACCGAAACCCTCATAGGGCTACCGCGACCGATCCATGAGAGCGTGAAGACACTGAAGCAGGTGAGACGACCCAGAAAGCCTTGCTGGGGAGTGACTCAGCTTGTCTGAACCCATCCCTTGCTGGTTTTGGTCCCTGGCACTCAGCAGATGTTCTGAGGTGGGATCGGACTCGTGGAGATCTCATGGGGATGTGGAAAATCATCGGCCAAGATCCCTAAGGCCGTTGGGGCATGGCAGGGCATCAAGCCTGGCACGCATAAGCTTTGTGCTGGAGCACTTGCAATGGGTTCCAGGTTCCTCAGGTGTGTGCTCTCAGCCCACAGTAAACGTTTCAAGTGAGTTTAGTCTTCTGCTCCTCCTCAGCTGACGTGCAGCAGCACCTTCTATCTGAGCTCTTGCTCGCCCTACCTTGGGAAGTCCATCTGGTGGCTCCAGCCAAGGTCTGAAAAAAAAGGATATCTGCCCCGCGCAGTGTTGGATCCTCACGTCTAGCCTCTGGCTGAAGGAGTTCTTGGAGGGAGTAAGAGGGTCCCTTCTTGTTGACGCCGCTGGGAATGTTCCTTTCCCACTGGTGGTACAAACCTCTGCACAAGCAAACCAGGGCCGCAGCATTAATGCCGTGTGAACAATTCAGACCATGAAATGCCTTGAGTGATCTTTGTCAATTGTCTGTCCGACCCTCCTGTAAACAATACACATTTTGTTCTTTAGAACTAGAAAGAACTGTTAGCTCTAGCTGGAACTAAATATTTATCAGAACTTTGGGCTCATTTTTTAGTTATGGATGTTTAGTTATGTATGTAGTAAGAGGGTCCCTACTTGTTAGTTGTCATAGGAAAAGCTTCTGGAGCTTCTTGCAGGAATTGGGTCCAAAAATGGAAAATGAGTCCTCCCTGCAGTTCCAGATCGATTGCCCAGTGCTTGGACTTTCCCTTTATCCCAGGTGTGGTGTTGCTGCGTCCTGGTGGGCGTTTGCCACATGCTTGGAAGGTGACAGACAGGTTTGGACATAAATGCCCAGACCCGTGGTGTTCCCAGGAGGAAGCACGGCCAGCCTTGGCTCTTGCAGTGCTCCACGCGGAGCGAGACACCTCCAGAGGCTGACTGACCCTCTCTAAGATCTGAATTGCCTTTTGGAGGAGATTGTCCCTCCCCATTTACTTGCAGAGAGATTCTAGAAGGAATAGGTGGAAGTAATCAGAGATACGATGTGTGAGGGGCTTCAGGGACGGAGGGGTGTCCCACACAAGGATGAGTCCCCCATGTATCTGCTGTGGCCTGTGCACCTAACTCAGATATTGCTGAACTCAGCAATTCTTGTCATCGCTGACTGTCTTTCATCCTTCAGTTGCGACATTGCTCTGTCTCTTGTCTGTGCGTTTTTGCCAGCACAAGTACGTTTCCATCTCGGACGTCCAGATCAAGAACGAGGAGGAGCTGGAGAAGTGCCCCATGTCTTTGGTAAGAAGTTGCTGCCCCCCCATCACTCGACAGGCGTGTGGAAGATTTCCAAGGTGTCGCATTTGCCGTGATCCTTAGGACACACCTTGGGTGCTCTTCTTTCTGGAAGCCCCTATCTTGAGCAAAAGTAGCGGTGGAGAAAGGCCTGCAGTCAGCACATAGCTGTGTCCATCATGTCCTCAAACTGGGTTTTTTGGAGGTGACTGACATATCGCAAGTGTGGGGACTGGAAATACTTACTTGTCCCCTGTTTCTCTGTGCTAGGGGGAAGAGGAAGTCCAAGAAACCCCTTGTGAGATCTTGTATCGAGCCATGTTGTACAATCTCCCCCAGTATATGGTAAGCCTGTGTTTCTTAAAAGTAAAGAGGAGCTTTCGAGGGAGGAACGGTGCCAACCTGTGAACCGCAGAGCTCAGCACGGGGCCGCTGGGGTGTGGAAGGGTGAGATTTTGGTGGGAACCCAGAGCAGAGTCGGGTGGGAAGTGCAATCCAAGAGGAAGGATTCAGAGGATCGAGGGGTGTAGATACCCAGGGACACGGTCAGATGGTTGGAGACAGATCTGTGGTTGGAAAACAGGACATATGTGGAGGGGAACAAAGCCCTCTGCATTGGTGGGATCTCAAAACGTGCTCCTGCCCTCCAGACACAGGAGGGGAACCCGCTGGGCATGACCCGTCTCATCTCTTGAGCTGCACTAGCCGTAGTATTTACTAACTAGTTGTTGCATGCTGATGCAAGCACCATCACTTCTGACCTCAGGGAGAAACCTACGGACTTTGCTTGTTCCTTCAGCCCCCGTCCTTGCTGATTAACTTTGTTACAATATCACGCTGACCGAGCGTGATGGCGTACTGGGCCAGGAATCAAACTAAAGCATCATCGTGCTTTACGTGGTTCAGCAAACAAGGCGGTGATGGCTTCAGGCCTCTGCTGACGTGGCTTTGCTCTCAACAGCTATTCAAATCGTGGAGAGTCGAGGAGGTTATGACCCTCCTTACAGGGACATCCCTTGCACCCTTTGAATGGCCCCAAGAGATTCCCAGAGGAATACAACGCGTGTCCTGAAATTGAGCTAGGTTGACAGGTTGGATGGGGCTTTGAGAAACCTGGTCTGGTGGGAGATGTCCCTGCCCATGTCAGGGGATTGGAACAAGATGATCTTGAAGGTCCCTTCCAACCTAAACCATTCTTCTAAGATGCCCTCTGTCCACGGGGAGAGACAAACACCAATTTAAATGCATTAAGCTCCAGGTGTCCCTTGCTCAGGATGTTACAGCCAAACCAGAGCTTCTGTCTGTCCAGGGTATAAGAGTACAGGTTGAACCTTGGCATAGTCAGTCCATCATGGTGAGCAGAGCTTGGGCTGGTGAAACCCGACAGAGTTGGCTCGAAGTTGTCCGGTTTCAGCAAATGAGGGAGAAGGAAGGAATGCTCCTTCCTGGAACCAACCCTCCACACCTGTCCCCCCCTGCAGATCGCTTTGCTGAAGATCCTCCTTGCTGCAGCACCCACCTCTAAAGCCAAGACTGACTCCATCAACATCCTGGCAGATGTGTTGCCTGAAGAGATGCCGTAAGTCATAGAATCATAGAATCATAGAATAGTTTCAGCTAGAAGAGACCTTGAAGATCGTCGAGTTCGGCCTTTGTCCCAGCCCTATCAACCCACTAAACCATGTCCCCCAGTGCAACATCCACCCGTCTTTTAAATCCCTCCAGGGATTGTGACTCAACCCCCTCCCTGGGCAGCCTGTTCCAATGGCTGACAACCCTCTCAGTAACAAAATTCTTGCTAATATCTAACCTGAACCTCCCCTGGTGCAATTTAAATAAGTCCTTGAGGAGGTGGCCACCAGCCATCCCAGCTTTGCCACGATGTCTTGCACTGAGTTAGGGTTTGCCGATAGGTTGGGGGGAGGGGCTCCAGATTTGGGGGCGTCTCTTTGGATAGGTGCAAGCTACTGGAGCCACCAGGGCAGAGGATTGAAAGCCAAGGATGCAAATGTTTTTCAGGAGCGTGGTTGGCAGCCTCTGTGCTGTGCTAGCTAAGTGCCACAATTCATAAAATCGCGCTGATTGACACAAATCATAAAGGCGTGGGAGCATGTGGTAGGTGTCCTTCACGCCACTCCCCCAGGATTGCTGACAGGCAGTCAGCACAATCAGCCCTTTTCCCCTTTTTTTAATGCACCTTGGTGTCATCCGATGGGAAAGGATGGAAATGGGAGTCCCAGAGGGAAGCGAAAGTCTCTGTTTCTGTAGAGTCTGTCCTGATAAAAAAGAACTCTGTGATCCTCCTTGCTCCCCTATGAGCTACGCTGTTGCCTTCTTTCCCTCCAACCCAGCATCACCGTCCTCCAGAGCATGAAACTGGGGATCGATGTGAACAGACACAAAGAGATCATCGTGAAGAGCATCTCGGCTTCGCTGCTGCTGCTCCTCAAGCATTTCAGGCTGAACCACATCTACCAGGTGAGCGTAGACCAGCCCTCACCAAGCTGGTCTTGAAGCCGGTGCGTCCTGATAGACCCTCTCCTAAAAGATATCTCTGGGATTGCTTTCCATGAAGAGCTGCAGATGGTTTTTCCAGAGAGAGGAGCCGTAGCCCCAGGCCAGGATTTGTAGTTACTCGGGCAGGGATGACCTGATCCCCGACTGTGTTTTGACGGGATCGTTTCCACTCACGTGCCAAGATCTTTCAGACCTCTGGGAAAGTTCACGCCGTAGCTGATGAGGTTAAAATTCAGGAGGTATCAGGAGCGTGAGCCTCCCCTGGCAGAAGGGGGAAGGGGATGGGGGTTAGGCAAGACCCTCTTTAGCTCAGCCTCCTCCGCAGTGACCAGAAATAGTGCTGGGTAGGACCTCACGAGGTCAGCTAATCCAGGCCTCAGCAGGATCAAGTTCTTGGGGCTCCTGTTTCAGCAGAGGTCTGGGTCCTAAATGCAATCCGATTTTTCCTTTCATCTGCACGGCACCAATCAAGCTGGACTCGCATGAGGGTTTTCCTTGATTAAAAAAACACCACGGACTGATTCGAGCTGCCAGTTCTTCACTCGTTCTGCCAATCAAACAATTAGCGTTTTGTCTTTTTTTCCTTTTTTATTTTTTTAAAGATTTCAGAGCATGCTACAAATCCATCTGTATGTTTCGAAGGCTGCTGATATTTATCCCAGGATAAATACAAATCCGTGTATTGGATTGGACAAAATGAAGCAAAACCCTGCATTTTTACAATCCTATATTTGTTCTGAGTCCCGCCAGGTCCTTTCCCTGACTTTTCTCACTTCATCCCCAAATCAGCTCCTCCTATTTTTTCCTCCATGGCAGGAGGACCCGTGTGTTAAGTCTGGAGGAACCCGTGGGGTTTCCCAGCTCTGATTCTCCTTCTGTGTCTGATTTTGCATGAGCCATCAGCATTTCTTTCAGTGCCAAAGCAGGTCTTGGGGAGCACCCCCAAAAAAACCCCAACCCACTGGCAGGGGTCGAGATGGTGCTTCCAAAAAGCGGTGGAGAGCACGGCTGGTCCACGCTCCACTGAGGGTCACCCTGTGCTCGGTGGCATGGGCCAGCAGATGATGTTTTGTTTTTTTGGCTCAGCTCTGCTGTGATTTGGTGTTTCTTACGCAGAAAAGCCCATCAAATTATTGCAGTTCAGTGTCTCAGCGTTATCTTCGGTCCGATCCTATATAAGCCGCCAGCCGCTGCGTTTCGAAGCAGCAAGAGCACCTCAAATCCCGGCCAGCGGGGTCTGGTGGTTACTCACTCGCCAGTAACGGCGGCGAACGGAGCGTCGACAGCTTGTACCGGGCTGAGACGAGACACGACAGAACAAACTGTTTCTTCGCTCTCAGATTCTGGGATGTCGATTACTGGTCGGGGAGAGGATATTGCTGCTCTTTGCAGCTCGGCTCTTTGGAGGACAGTAGAGATTTGTCGTACTAAGCAGCCCTGTGTATCCAGACCATTTAATATATAGAGGGGGAGAGAAATTAAAAGCATGTGTGAAGGTAAGGAGGCTTTTTCCAGTCGAAATTTGAAAAAGGACTGGGCTTAGCATGTGACAGCAACAGGAATTGCCGTATTTTTTCATTTAATAGCTACGTCTCCTCCTTCCCTCTTCCCCATATGTTGTTTTGTCACAGATTTTTGCCTTGAAAAGCTGCACTGCAGTCAGCAGGTGTAGCTTATTCCTAAATTACTGCCATAAAGTTTGCGTGTTCGCTCTATGGCAAGTAGATTTTCCAGCTGCTGGGAGCTGCTGTATGTGCCAGCCTTACACGGCAGAATTCTGCATGGGGAGGACGGTCTGCGAGGTGTCCGAAGCAAACCATCAAGACTGCTTTGCTTTCGGCTGGAAATGGTTTTCCATTTTCCAGGCGATTCTCCCAGTTGTTCCAGCTAATGTTGACCCATTTCACTTCTCTCCCTCAGTTTGAGTACGTGTCCCAACATTTGGTGTTTGCCAACTGCATCCCGCTGATCCTGAAGTTCTTCAACCAAAACATCATGTCTTATATCACTGCCAAAAACAGGTACAGCCGCTTCTGGGGAAGAGAGAGGTGATGGAGCAGGGAGGCTTTGTGCATGAGGAACCCTGACGCATGGTGGGACAGAGCGACCTCTGGTCCCGCGCCCAGCTTCGGAGCAGTATGCTCTCCCCTACAGGAATACGCTGGAGGGGAGCTGCATGACGAGGAAGTGATGATGGGGGGTTTCCAATCTCTCACCGGGCTGCTAAAACACACGTAGACCCAGCTCCCTTCCTGACAGTCAACTTGTTTTCGTCTTTATATGGACTCCTGGAAAGCAGTCCAACGCCAGGCATCAGGCACCAGCACAGATCAGGGGACGTCCTG